CCTACCACTACCTACCATCACCACCCACCACTACTACTACCATCATCACCTACCACTACTACTACCATTTCCACCACCTGCCAGCATCACCAACACCATCTATCACTACAACCACCACCACCTACCACCACCACCCACCACTAATACCACCACCACCTACCACTACTACCACCCACCACCTACCACCACCACCAACCACTACTACCACCACCACCTACCACCACCACCTACCAATACTACCACCACCACCTACCACTACTACCACCATTTTTTTCACTCAGGCGTTGCTATGACTACCCACAACACAATGATTCGTAAATGGTGCAGTAATGGGGGGGGGGTTAATGGGGAGAATGGGAAGTGGGAGGAACTGTAATAGTTGTCTGGGGGAATGGTGTATGGTTATGGGTTAAAAGTGCAGAATAATGGGTTAAAAATACAAAATAATGGGTTAAAAATACAAAATAATGGGTTAAAAATACCACCAGAATATCGTAGTATTATTCATTAACAACTCGGGTCAAAATGGTAATGGTGTTTTATGGGTGGAAGGACATAATGGGGATGAGGGGGACGCGTTTATAGAAATTGGGAATAATACCTGGTGTTAATGGGTGTGTAGATGGTGTACTGACAAGAATACCTTGATAAGATAGTCATGTATACCTGAGTAGCGTTCGTGACTGTGTGTGTGTGTGTGTGTGTGTGTGTGTGTGTGTGTGTGTCTTGCATAACAAAACAAATTACAAGCTATTGTTTTTTGTGTTTTTTTCTCTCCTTGTTAGTGTTTTAGTGTTTATAACACGTCGTTGTGTCTGACGTGAGTGTTTGTTTGTTTAATAGTGAGATTTATGTTTTCCCTGAAGAAATCTAAAAAAGAGAGAGAGAGAGAGAGAGAGAGAGAGAGAGAGAGAGAATATATATCGCTTTCATCCACTTTACAGTAAACCTTTGTTGGGGATTTTACTAGCTGTGTGTGTGTGTGTGTGTGTGTGTGTGTGTGTGTGTGTGTGTGTGTGTGTGTGTTGTGTGTGTGTGTGTGTGTGTGAGTGTGTGGCGTCCTATTCAGCCATGATAATGCAGAGTTGTGCTGAATAACTGTCACAGCATATATACATTACCTCCTTCTTCCCTCACCTCCCTCTCCTCCTCTCTCCTCCTCTCACTCTCCCTCTCCTTCCTCTACTCTCTCCTCCTTCTTTACTCTCTCCCGTCCTTCTTTTCATTCCCTCCCTTCTCGTCCTCCTTCCTTTCTCTCCTTGCTACCTGTTTCTCCTTTTCTCTCCCTACCTCTCTCCGCCCTCCTACTTCCTTTTTATCTCCTCCTTGCTGTCCATTTTCTCTCCCTCCTCTCTCCTCTCACCTCCCTTTTGTTCTTTCGTTGCCCATCCTCCATACACCAGCATCTCCCTACACTACCTCTCCACCCTCTTTTCCCTCCTTTCCTTGTCATCTACCCCTCTCTTTTACTCCTATTCCCCATTTTCTGCCCTTAGTGCTCTTCCCCTTCCGTTCCTCCCCTCCTCCCCTCCTCCCTCCCTCCCTCTCTTCTCCCTTCGCCTTCTTTCCTCCAAGAGTAGGACCTGTAAGAACCTTCTCCTTCGTGTGATTTTTGGACCTGCACCTCCTCCCCTCACGTCCTCCCCCACGTCACCCCCCCTCACGTCTCCCCCTCACGTTTCACCACTCACGTCTCACCCTCCACGTCTCCCCCACTCACGTCTCCCCTCACGTTCTACCCACGTCTCACCCCTCACGTCTCCCCACTCCGTCCCCCTCACGTCTCACCACTCGTCTCACCCCCTTACGTCTCCCCCCCACGTGCACCTCACGTCTTCCCCTCACGTCTAACCCCCCACGTCTCCCCACTCACGTCCCCCCTTCACATCTCCTCCTTCGTCTCCCCTTCACGTCCTCTCATCTCTCCCCTCACGTCACCCCCTCACGTCTCACCCTCACGTCTCACCCCACGTCTCCCCACTCCGTCTCGCCTTCGTCTCACCCCTCACGTCTCCCTCCTCACGTCTCACCCCTTACGTCTCCCCTCGTTTTCCCCTCACATCACCCCCCTCACGTCTCACCCCTCACGTCTCCCCACTCCGTCATCCCCCCCACGTCACCCCCCCACGTCTTCCCCTCCTCACCCCTCACGTCTCCCCCCACGTCTCACCACCCACGTCTCCCCTCACATCTCCCTCTCACGTCACCCCTCGTCTCACCCCTCACGTCACCCCCTCACGTCACCCCCCCTCACTCACCCCTCCGTCTCCCCCCTCACATCTCCACTCACGTCTCACCCCTCACGTCTTCCCCTCTCACCCCTCGATATCCCCCTCCCCCTCCTCTCTCTAAAGTAACCTGGCAACCAGGATGTTAAGCGACGTGTGTGTGTGAGACAGACAGACAGACAGACAGACAGACAGACAGACAGACAGACAGACAGACAGACAGACAGACATTAACACTATATAATACCAATAAGACAAGTTAACGATTTAAACACACATACTTTACTTAAAATAAATTATAAAAAAAAAACATTCAATATAACAAAGGCAATTAAGACCAGGTGTTTTATTACCACCATGATAACTAATAATAAATTGTTATCTTTTATCACTAGTGTGTGAGGGAAGTATCACCTGGATGACGCAATAACAAGAAGAAAAAATAACCCACTTTATTACCTTCATAAGTTAGTTTGTGCGTGTGTGTCTCTACTTACGGGGTTTGTGTGTGTGTGTGTGTGTGTGTGTGTGTGTGTGTGTGTATGTGTGTGTGTGTGTGTCATTCTCTTTTCTCTCTCTTCCTCCTCCGTCTCCTCCTCCTCGTTTCCTCCTCCCCCTCCTTCATTCCCTCTTCACTTACCTCTCCCTCTTTTCTCCCTTTCTCCCTTACTCTCCCTCCTCCCCTATCCTCCCCCATCTTCCCCATCCCTCCTCCCTTACGGCCTCTTATTCCCTCCTCCCTTTCTCCCTCCTTCTATCTCCCTCCTTTACTCTCTCTCCTTCCCTCTTCTCATTCACCCAGAAAAATTTTTAATTCTCAGGGTGTCTCTTCTTCAGGTGGACAACGTCTCTCCCCTTCCGTTTTCTCTACAAATAACAACTATTTATTATTATTATTATTATTATTATTATTTATTTTTATAAAAAAAAAAAAAAATGTTGTTGTTGTTGTTGTTGTTTTGTTGTTGTTGTTGTTGGGTCGTGTATAAACTATGGATGGAGTTTAAACTTTTGAGTTTCTGTTTATACATACATTCATACAATCGTTTATACATTCATACAATCGTTTATACATTGCCTACATTCTTTTTATGCATTTCTACACATATTCACATATCCACTTCATGTTGCAGCGAACAGAGCGGCTATGTGCCATTTACTGTACACCCTGTTGTGCATGAAAAATACGACAGCACAGTGTATTGTAAAGTGAAGAGCTTTTACCTGTACCTTCTTATACCTGTAATTAACCTGTACCTGTCCTTATACCTGTAATTAACCTTTACCTGCCCTTATACCTGTAATTAACCTTTACCTGCCCTTATACCTGTAATTAACCTGTATCTGTCCTTATACCTGTAATTAACCTGTATGTCCTTATACCTGTAATTAACCTGTATCTGTCCATTAAATACCTGTATCTGTGTTTGTACCTGAACATATACCTGTACCTGCCCTTATACCTGTACCTGCCCTTATACCTGTACCTACCCTTATACCTGGTCTTATACCTGTACCTGCCCTTATACCTGGTCTTATACCTGTACCTGCCCTTATACCTGCCCTTATACCATATGCCTTATACCTGGTCTTATACTGTACCTGCCCATATACCTGGTCTTATACCTGTACCTGCCCTTATAACTGCCCTTATACCTGCCTGCCATTTACACCTGGTCTTATACCTGTACTTGTCCTATGCCTGCTTATACCTGTACCTGCCCTTATACCTGGTCTTATACCTGTACCTGCCCTTATACCTGGTCTTATACCTGTACTGCCTTATACCTGGTCTTATACCTGTACCTGCCATTATACCTGGTCTTATACCTGTACCTGCCCTTATACCTGGTCTTATACACCTGCACTGCCTTATACCTGGTCTTATACCTGTACCTGCCCTTATACCTGTACCTGCCCTTATACCTGTACCTGCCATATACCTGCCTTATACCTGTACCTGCCCTTATACCTGCCCTTATACCTGCCCATCCTCCCTTATACCAACAATTCCTACCCGTTTTCAGGAACAACACAAAATCTCCACGAGACGAGTTTCTGATCGTGTCTTGGGAACATCTTGGAGATGGTGCCAGAGTTCCTTCCTTCTTTCCTTCCTTCCTTCCTTCCTTCCCTTCCTTCCTTCCTTCCTTCCTTCCTTCCTTCCTTCCTTCCTTCCTTCCTTCCTTCCTTCCTTCTTCCTTCTCCCCCTTCCTTCCTTCTTCTTCTTCCTTCTTTCCTTCTTTCCTTCCTTCCTTCTTTTCTTCCTTCTTTCCTTCCTTCCTATCCTTTCTCAGTTCACCTTTCTTCCTTTACTTCCTTCCCATCCTTTTTCAGTTCACTTTTATTCCTTCCTTCCTTCCTTCCTTCCTTCCTAGTTGACGTTCCTTCTTTCCTTCCATTTTCTTTCTTTCTTTAAGATGGCATGAGAGTTCCTTCAGAGATACTCCTCCTTCCTCCCTCCCTCCTCCCTCCTCCCTCCTCCCTCACCTCCCAAATCACCCTCCTCCCTCACCTCCCTCCTCCCTCCCTCCTACCAACATCAAATATATAATCCATCTCTCACCTTTTGCCAAGAATCAGAGGCAATTTTTCTTCCGCACGTTAAAGGTACACACACACACACACACACACACACACACACACACACACACACACACACACACACACACACACACACACACACACACACACACACACACACACACACACACACACACACACACATCCCGATCTGCTCAAGAATGTTCAGAAAATGTTGATTAGCAGAGTATGGGCGAGTCTCTTTGTCTGATGCTGTGTTCAGTGTTCCGTTCCCGGTGTTCCAGTGTTCAGGTTGTTCAGTTCCCGGTGTTCCAGTGTTCAGATTGTTCCATTCCCGGTGTTCCAGTTTCAATTCCATTCCCGGTGTTCCAGTGTTCAGGTTGTTCCGTTCCCGGTGTTCCAGTGTTCAGGTGTTACGTTCCGATGTGTAGATGGAGGAATGCAGGTGTATAGGAGTGTAGTTCTGTAGCAGTCAGGTGTGTAACCCAATTACTAATATTATATACCTGTTGGGAGGGTGTAGGGCGAGTGTACTGTACCTAGCAGTAAACGTGGTTGATTTCCCGGGTGTAGCTCGGGTGTAACTGAGGTGTAGCTGGTAATTGCAGGTATTGTGTAGTGGAGCGGCGTAAAGTGCAAATTGTACCTTAATTATGCATGGACACACCTGGATGTTTCCCTAGCTAGCCTGGCCCGGCGCTGGAATGTGTAGTGCCACGCCCGTCCGCCCACATGTCCTCCCCACTCTGTACCTCACCTCCCACCCCTCACCTTCCACTCCTCACTCTCCACCTCTCTCCCCACTCACCTCACCTCCCACCCCTCACTCTCACCTCACCTTCCAATCACATTTATGTTGCTATCAGATTCATCCAATATCTCTCTCTCTCTCTCTCTCTCTCTCTCTCTCTCTCTCTCTCTCTCTCTCTCTCTCTCTCAACTTCCATAACGAAATGCCAAGGAACACAAACTATGGTCGCCTTATTTTCTTTAGTGCCAGGTGGTGGAGGAGGCAGTGCCAGGTGGTAGGGTGATGGAGGAGGGCAGTGCCAGGTGGTGGGGTGATGGAGGGGGCAGTGCCGTGGGGAGAGGGTAGTGCCAGGTGGAAGGAGTGGACAGTGCCTGAATATAAATCCCTCTCAGCTTTTAGTGGTGACAACTTTTTTTCCTCCAGGACTAATGTAAACTTTTATTCTCTCCACTAAAATAAATAAATAAATTCACATCACGGTTTTGTGTTTCAGAGTCCACAGTGATTATTATTATTATTTATTATTATTATTATTATTATTATTATTATTATTATTGTTTTTTTATTATTATTATTATTATTATTATTATTATTATTATTATTATTATTATTATTATTATTATTGTTATTATTATTATTATTATTATTATTATTATTATTATTATTATTATTATTATTATTATTATTATTATTATTATTATTATTATTATTGTTGTTGTGTGTTGTTGTTGTATGTTGTTGTTGTTGTTGTTGTTGTTGTTGTTGTTGTTGTTGTTGTTGTTGTTGTTGTTGTTGTTGTTGTTGTTTGTTGTTGTTGTTGTTGTTGTTTGTTGATTTGTTGTTGTTGTTGTTGTTGTTGTTGTTGTTGTTGTTGTTGTTGTTGTTGTTGTTGTTGTTGTTGTTGTTGTTGTTGTTGTTGTTGTTGTTGTTGTTGTTGTTGTTGTTGTTGTTGTTGTTGTTGTTGTTGTTGTTGTTGTTGTTGTTGTTGTTGTTGTTGTTGTTGTTGTTGTTGTTGCTCTGCTATATTGCTAATGATGTATTATGATTTGAATTGTGTGTGTGTGTGTGTTTTAGTATCCTGGTCTTCATATGAGTTTCACACAATCCTCACCCAACCTCTCCCCACCTCCTCCTCTCTAAACCTCTTCCCCACCTCTCCCCTACCATTCGCCCTTCCCCATCCCCTTACCAATCACCCCTCCTTTACCCATCACCGGCAGACAGTCAGAGTCTTAGTGGGGTACCAACTCCAGAGGTCTGGGTACGTACTGTGTGTGTGTTGAGAGAGAGAGAGAGAGAGAGAGAGAGAGTTAGTTAGTTAGTTAATTTGTCTCCCCCACCTTTCCCTCCCCTCCCTCCATAGTCGTACTCACCCCCTCACCCAATTCCCCCCTCCCTCTCCCCCTCACCCCATCCACGGTCATACTCTTGCCCCCTCACCCCCCTCTCACCCCCTCACCAGTTGTACTCTCTCCGTGAAAAGACAATTACCTCGACCACAGGGAAAATTTAATGGTGTCTCAACAACTAGAAGGGGAGGAGGAGGAGGAGGGGAGGAGGAGGGAGGGAGAAGAGGGGAGGGGGTGGGAGGAGGGTGAGGGGAGGTGAGGAGGGAGGAGGAGGAGTTGGGATGACTGACGGAAAGTACCCTCCTCACCTCACGACCCCTTCCTCACCTCACGACCTCCTCTCACCTCACGACCCCTTCCCCACCTCACGACCTCTCCTCACGACCCTTCCTCACCCACGACCCCTCTCACCTCACGACCCCTTCCTCACCTCACGACCCTCCTCACCTCACGACCTCCTCCACCTCACGACCTCCTCCTCACGACCCTTCCTCACCTCACGACCCCTTCCCTCCTCACGACTTCACGACCCCCTCTCCTCACCTCACGACCCTTCCTCACCTCACGACCTCCTCCCCACCTCACGACCCTTCCTCACCTCACGACCCCTCACCTCACGACCTCCCACCTCACGACCCCTTCCTCACCTCACGACCTCCTCACCCCACGAGACTCCCCCACCCACACCCTTAATCTCTGAAGAAGCCAAAGGTAAGAAATGTCACGACCAGGAGGTGTTTGTGAGTCAAGGCTCTCTCACACACACACATCCTTCTTCCCTCTCACCCTACTCATGTCCTCACCCCACCCATTCCTTTCAACTCCCTTCTCTAGTCCCTCTCATCTCCCCATCCAATCTCCCCACTTCTACCTCCCTCCATCCCCCACCCCCTCCCCATTCAATTCCAACCCCACCCCTCTCATCCCCCACCCCTCCCCATCCACCCCACTTACCCCTCTCATCCCCACCCCCTCATCCACCCCACCACCCCTCTCATCCCTCACCCCTCTCATCCACCCCACTTACCCTCCTCATCCCCCACCCTCCTCATCCATCCCACTTACCCCCCATCCCCTCACCCTCCTCATTCACCCTCTACCTCACTCCCTCTCTCATCCCTCACCCCTCTCATTCACCCCACTTACTCCCTCTTCCCAGTGTGTGTCAGACCAAGAACCTGCTGAGCTGTGGTAAAGGTCACACAGCTGTTAATTTATTCATCCACTCATTGCTATTTTATCGCCTCTGACTTGTTATGTTCTGCCTTCATTTTTCATTTTACATCATGTTAATTTATTTTAATTTTATATCCTGTTATTTTTAATTTATATCATGTTACGTTATTGTTATTCATTTTATATCCTGTTAATTTATTTTCATTTTATATCCTGTTAATTTATTTTCATTTTATATCCTGTTACGTTATTGTTATTCATTTTATATCCTGTTACGTTATTGTTATTCATTTTATATCCTGTTACGTTATTGTTAATTCATTTTATTTCATGTTAATTCTTTTTTTACCTGTGACTAATTTTATGGTAGCGTAGAAAGTGGTAAGTGATGTGTGATGAATAGAGGGAAGGAAGGAAGGAGGAGAGGGAAGGAAGGAAAGAGGAGAGATGGAGATGAAGGAAAAGAGAAGGAGAGAAGGAAATGGAAGGTGGGAAAGAGAGGGAAAGAACAAGGCGATGGAAGGTACAGGTACAAACACAGGTACAAACACAGGTACAAACACAGGTACAAACACAGGTACAAACTCAGGTACAAACTCAGAAAAACACAGGTACAAACTCAGGTACAAACACAGGTACAAACACAGGTACAAACTCAGGTACAAACACAGGTACAAACTCAGGTACAAACACAGGTACAAACACAGGTACAAACTCAGGTACAAAACACAGGTACAAACACAGGTACAAACTCAGGTACAAACACACAGGTACAAACTCAGGTACAAACACAGGTACAAACACAGGTACAAACTCAGGTACAAACACAGGCATAACACAGGTACAAACTCAGGTACAAACACAGGTACAAACTAGGTACAAACACAGGTACAAACACAGGTACAAACACAGGTACAAACACAGGTACAAACACAGGTACAAACACAGGTACAAACACAGGTACAAACTCAGGTACAAACACAGGTACAAACACAGGTACAAACACAGGTACAAACCAGGTACAAACACAGGTACAAACACAGGTACAAACACAGGTACAAACACAGGTACAAACACAGGTACAAACACAGGTACAAACACAGGTACAAACACAGGTACAAACACAGGTACAAACACAGGTACAAACACAGGTACAAACACAGGTACAAACACAGGTACAAACACAGGTACAAACACAGGTACAAACATAGGTACAAACACAGGCAAACACAGGTACAAACACAGGTACAAACACAGTACAAACACAGGTACAAACTCAGGTATTACATAACAAGTACTCAAAAAGTACTCAGAAAGTGTACATTATAACGTCACATTATCCTGTACAGTACACAACAGTCGTGTACACTTACACACCTGGTCAGGCGGGCACACACACCTGTTGGCCAGCTCATACATCCAGAGCCACCACAACACACCTGCCTACAAAAGTGTTAGAGCCACATGTGTCAGCAGGTGTCCACACATGGTAAGGAGGATATTGAAAATGTGTATCTTGGTCATAAATTTTAGGAGCGAGGTGAGGGGGTGAGGGGTGGTGGGGGTGAGGGAGAGGGTCTGGAGGGGGGTGAGGGGAGGGTCTGGAGGGGGTGAGGGGAGTGGGTCTGGAGGGGGGAAGGGTCAAGGGAAGTGGGTTGGCTTAGATTTATATATTATTATTATTATTATTATTATTATTATTATTATTATTATTATTATTATTATTATTGTTGTTGTTGTTGTTGTTGTTGTTGTTGTACCTCCCTTCTCTCTGCCTTCCTCCCTACCTTCCTTTTTTTCCCTCCTTCCATGCTCTTCCCCTCTCCTCCTTCCTCCCCCTCCCCATCTTCCTCCTCGCCTGAGGTTCCTTCCGTAATCCAGCTTATTTAATCTGTTGCTGCTCTCTCTCTCTCTCTCTCTCTCTTCTCTCTCTCTCTCTCTCTCTCTCTCTCTCTCTCTGTGTGTGTTAGAGCCCAACGAATAAGTTTATATAGATAGATAGTTAGATAGATAGATAGATAGATAGATAGATAGATAGATAGATAGATAGATAGATAGATAGATAGATAGATAATTTATTCATACATTGTCTGTCTATCACAA